TCATTGAACCCCCGGGCTGGCGGCGCGTCCGCACCGAGGAAGGGCCGGCCGCGGCGCCTGGCTCCTGTCAGGGCTGACAAGGCAGCAATTTCCCAGCCTGCCAGGCCCCCCCGGGCACCGGGCAGCGTCACGTAGCCTCTGCAGCTCCATCCGCCCCTTCAGAACATGGTAACGTGAAGAGCGAGGCCAAGGAAGCGCCTCTTCCTGGCAAACATGAGGATCTCTACTCATTCCTTACTGCTGAGGATTACATTTGTTGGGATGCTGAATTTGGGGTGCGCGCGGCGCTCGGGAAACGCTCCCGGAGCAGCGGCGCAACCCAAGAGGGGATCCAGGATGTTGTAAGGAACGGAAAGGGCCGCTGAGGAACAAACCTGCAGCAGTTCTGCTGCGCACCGGGAGGACGGAAAGGCAAAGGGAAGGTGGCGCTCCTTGCGGGAAGGAGGGAGCTGGTCGCAGCCGCAGGAAACGCGACGCTGCTGCCCCAGCTCCTGCTCAAAATCCTCCTCTGCCCAAGCGCTTCTCACCCCAGGAAAGGGGAAGCGAAGGCTTTTCTTACGGGAACGGGTTCCTCTTTCTCTCCTGCCTGAATCAGAGCTTCCCTACCTGCTCGCGGCAAGTTTTGCTTCCGAGGCCTCCAAGTCACGGCTTGAACGGGAGCTCCCAGCCCTGTTCCGACGGCGGTGACTAAAAGGCCAAGTATTGGGGAAGGCCGGCGCGGCCGCGCGCTCCCGGAGCTGCCCCACCTCCGGCTGGGCATTGCCAACATTCCTGGCGCTTCCCGTCTCCCGAAGCGCTGCCGGCCGCGCCGGGCCCCGCTCCATTCTGGGAGGACTTTGCTGAGCACTACAGGCGCTCCGGAGCTTCCCTCCCCGCCCCGGATTCCTCACGAGCTCCCAGCTCCTCTCCAGCGCTCAGTGGGGCTTTATTTTTTTTTTTTGCTCCATAACATCCTTCCGTTCAATTCCTTTGCTTCACACACGGTGGTCTCCAGCTCCTCATATTTCCCCAGCAAAACAGGATTCGTGCCTGGCCTCTCTTCCCAAGGCTGCCGATCCACCGCCCTCCCTCCACAACAAGTTCTCACCTTGAATGTCTTTCTCACCAGTTTTTAAGAGGATTCTGACTCTGGCAGAATTATTTTTGGAAATACTCCCGGGGTGCTAGGGAACGAACGCGCTGGAACGCAGGCTAGCGAGAGCAGGAGGCAGTTGTGGTTCTTGCTTTTCCTAACCCGCCACTTTGAGGAGACCCAGAGTAAATTTAAGAGGAGCTTGATGCTACCAAGGTTTCCGATTGCGGGGCCTTCCGCTGGCGTCTCCGCGAGCTCTGCCGGGTGCATCGCACAGGAACCCGCGTCCTGGACCGGAGTCGAGCACAACTGCTTCGCTTCAACCCAGAACTGCCAGGCTGCAACCCCCTCGAACAAAGCTGCGTCTTATTGACTAGTTTTAATAAATAGGGCTGGCACGGTGAAATTGGACAATTGTTACAAACAACAAAGGAAACAGACTTTGATTGCGAGTGTTCACAAGCAACACGGGCACATTTTAGCGCTGAGTATTTGCTTTGCAACACAAGTTCTGTCAAGTGAAAACAGCCACTCAGACCAAACCCTCCCTGCCAAGCGGTTTGGGAGGAGGGCAGGGAGCAGCGGGAGGGAGGAAGCGGCCTCCCCTCTGCGTGGCCGGAGAGCCGCTCCGCACGGCTCCGCACGGCTCCGCACGGCGCGGCAGGACGGGACGTGACGCACACGGAGAGCCGCTCCGACGGCTCCGT